TATCAAGCATCTCAGATCACAATGGCATGAAATTAGAAATCAACTACAGTAAAAATATTCAAAAACATTCAAACAAATGGAGGTTGAATAACACATTATTAAACAATGAATGGGTTACCATTAAGATCAAGAAAGAAATAAAAAACTTCCTGGAAACAACTGAAAATGAACACACAACAACCCCAAATCTATGGGATACAGCAAAGATGTCCTAAGAGGGAAGTTCATAACACTATAGGCCTACCTCAAAAAGCAAGAAAAATTTTTAGGAAATTATCTAACCCTACAACTTAAAGAATTAGGAAGTTCCCCTGTGAAGCTGTCTGGACCACAGCTTTTGTTTGTTGGGAGTTTTTTTATTACTACTTTGATTTCATCAGTTGTTTTTAACCTATTGAGCTTTTCTGATTCTTCCTGATTCAGTTTTACATGATCTCACCCATATGTGGAATCTAATAAACAAAATAGACTGAGGAACAAAATAGATCCAGAGACACAGAAGCATGGAACAGACTGATGAATCTCAGTGGGAAGGCAGGGATGGGGGAATGGGTGGGGAGATAGATTAATCAAAGAACTTATATGCATATATGCATAACCCATGGACACAGACAATAGTGTGCTGAAGGCCCAGGGCAGAGAGTGGATGTGGGGTGAAGGGGGTCAATGGAGGAAAAAAAGGGGATATCTGTAATACTTTCAACAATAAAAATAAATAAATAAAAAAAGATTAGTATTATCTCACCCAGCCAGCGTGGCTCAGCAGTTGAGCATTGACCTATATGATCCAGGAGATACTGGTTTGATTCCCGGTTAAGGCACATGCCGGGGTTGCAGGCTCCACCCCCTGGGATCATGCAGGAGGCAGCCGATCAATGACTCTCTCTCATCATTGATGTTTCTATCTCTCTCTCCCTCTCCTTTCCTCTGTCTGAAATCAATAAAATATATTTTAAAAAAATAGTATTATCTCTAGGCCATCCTCTGGCTAGAAAGCTGAATTCACTGAAAACAGAATTATTGGTGACCTACTTCCAACTTTTGCTCTTCCAAACTGAATATTAGTAGGGTCTTCAAAAACTTTTTCATTCCCACCCCCTATAAATCTAAGGTCACAAATAGGGGAGATGAGTCTTGAACTTGGCATTCTCTAATTGATTCATCTTTAGCAGACATCCTTGCAGTTTGTGGAATGGGATTGTGGACATTCTATAGTTTCAGGATAAATAGTTTCCATTTCTGTTTTTGGTCCTTTATGGTCTTTTAAGTAGACTTCAGGGAGAGGAGTGTTAGATGTTTGAATGTTTTATACATTAAAAATCTATTTTATTATGTGACTAATAATTCTTATTTTATTGTTCTGTAATTTAGTTAACTACAAATTAGATTTCTTACATACATAAGCCTTACATGTAATTTATATGTCATCCTAGGTATTCTATCTTTAAACTTAAAACTACTTTATATACAAAACTGCTTCCATTTTTGCATTCAGTTAGCAATGGGCAAAATCAAATTTGAATAAAACATATTTGAAAACATACCCCTATAGAAGGTTATTGATTCCTTGAAATTATTTCTACTTATATTTATATCCTATGATTTATTGAAAATATATACCCTTGGTTATAATATCCTTATGAATTTCCTCCCCCAGGAAATAATTAATAGTTATAAACGTGCTATTGTCCTGCAGTCTTCACAAATCTCTATTATTAGTAAAACCAATCCAACAGGCTGAAGACATCAGAAACCATTCTTTCCAGACAAAGAGAGAAAAATGTCACCCAAATGAAGGAAAATATTCTTTCGCAGATCAATTTCCTGTGTTTCTTACAGCACTCCTTCCTTTCCCTGTACTGAGAGTTCTCAAGGGTGTAGAGTGGACACAGTAGACAACTGATTCTTTTCCACGAATCCCCAAATCATGCACATGGAAATGTTTAAAATCTTACACCAAAAATAAGAAACCCAACTTCCAGGAAGATTTAAAATTACTTAGATGTCTTTTATATATCAAAACCTCGCAATCATTATTTAAAAAGTTATTTAATGAAAGTGAGGGCATTCTTGATGATAATAAAGAACAACATAGGAAAAACGGGAAGCAAATGCTGGGCGGAGTGGGTGAGCCAGGTAGGTCCGCGCACCTCTTGGGCTTCTGCACATCAGCCTGAGTTTCTGGGTCTGTTCTAAACCTCAGTAGTATTTCAGGTTACTACATGGCATAGATCTTTGTGGTGCTGGTCAAACCTCTAAGTGTTAAATTACCAAATGTACAGTTTTCCAGTATTGGTTCAACGGCTGATAACATTTAGGAATTGGGTTTTTGTCGATTTCTTTTATCTCTCAAGGATAAGCAAGATAATTCATATTTCACCAACCCAAGTCTTCAATGACAAAGCTTGCAGTAAAGTTCCCTACTGTCAAATTTTAGCACCTAGTTCAGAATTCTCATTGCAAATTTACACTTGGTTTTCCAATTAAAATGGGCTTTTGTGAGTCCCCTGCTGATAGCTATTGGCTTGAGAAAAGTTACTTAATTTTCAGCAAGGGCATTTAGGGATCCCAGTGCCAGGCTGGCTCTTCTGTTGTTGCCTTGAGCCCAGCTGTGCTGAAATATTAAACTTTAGTAAATTAGGTAAACTTGCAGCTTCCTGGCTGATACAGTGATGCCCTTTTCTTTTTCTGCAAACCATCTTCAGTGTGAGTTGTCTGCGCAATTCTTTCTCCTCTAAGAGAAATACAATTGAGATTATCTTCTAAATCTAGACAAGTTTTCCATTCAGACTATCTTCCAAATCCAGACTTTTCATTTTCAAGATGGCTGTGCCATATCCTACTTAGCTAACAGAATGCTTAAGCTTTCAAACGTGTAGAATTGGATCACTTTATTACTTTAGCACTGAAGATAGCATTACTTTATTATACCATACTCAGCTGAGCAGCTGGATCCCTAAGAATGTCATTCTTACATAAAAGTAGCAACTTTTTCTTTATTGATTAGTATTTATTCTAGCAGCAATAGTGAGCTATGGAAGGAAATCATATTTCTAATAAATCATATTTGTTTTCAGTTTTTTGCTCCTTTCTCTTTAAGAATCGTGTCTTTTTTTCTATATTTCTGAAGTGTGTTATTCATTGACCAAACATTTACTGATCAATTACTATGTGCAAAGTTCTGGTATGTTTTCAACTATATATTTTTAATTAGAACGAATGCAGAAATAGCAAAAAGAAACTAAACAGTTGGTTTTTTTCCTCTTCTCGATGTTATTTTTTCAGCAATGACATTGCTGGCTTCAGCTTTATTGAGCTGTCTGGCCTATTTGCTCCCCAAAGGCTCTCACATTGGTCTTCCAGGTTAAGACCTTATGCCCCTAAGAGACTCCAGTTGAAATATGAATATTTTTGTTGCTTGGGGAAGTTAACTCACTAAAGCCTTTCAAAGGACCTTTATCGAGGTACTCACAAGATGGAAGAGTCCAAAGGTTGTTTCTGGAAAAATCTGAAATCTATACAAAAGTAGATTGAATAGTCTAATGAGCCCGCATGTAAACATTATGGAGTTTTTGGTTTATTGATATTCCTCAAGGGTCGAGTCAGGGGCAAAACCTGGGGAGGTGGCACAGTGGAAGCTTGGGAAACCTGCAGGCTACACATGGAGCCAGATGGCTTAGGGCTGAAACAGGAGAAGTCCACTCCCCAATAAACACTTGGGGAGCCAGGCTCTCACATTGCCTTCGGATCACTCCCTTGCAACAAATGAGATAATTAATAGATGAGATGATAACCAACAGAATGTAGACCGGTATGATTTAGGTCAGGGGTCTGCCAACTTTTTCTGAAAAGGGGCAGCTAGTAAATACTTTTTAGCTTTGTGGGCCACATGATCTTTGCGGCCCTTGTACCATGAAAGCAGCTGTAGATCATTACGGCCCTTGGTAATACAGAGGAACAGACACGGGGGTGTTCCAGTAAAACTACAAACACCGGCAGGGGGCCGAATTCGGCCCTCGGGAACTAGTCTGCGCACCCCTGAAGATTGCCTGGCCCCAGAAATCGCGTCTCTGCGCCTCCGATTCTGCGTTTAAGCCGGGGGAGGCTACTTCTTCTACGGGGCACCGGGATCTACCCAATGGCCGCCCAGTTCCTGGTAGCCTTCCTGCGTGGGACGATCCAGCAGAGCGACGGCAGTTTTCGAAGTTTTTAAAGTGGGCTCCTTTCCTGTCCTCTCGCGCCCCTCTCGGCCCTGGCCGTAACCGCCCCGACGCCGACGGAGTCGCGGCGCTCACAGGTGGGCTGCGTGGGCTTCGAGGACAAGCGCGCGCGCGCTCGGAGCGGGGAAGGG